CGGAACGTCAAAAGTGTATGTTTCTGCCGAATTGTTCTTCTTCCAGGGACAGGGCTCCGTGCAAGCGGGGGTCAGCCAGACCGCCGGATCTTGCAGCATCCTGCAGGGCTGGGGATGCACTGACCCGGGCTTGCGTGCAGGATTCGCCAGGACCCTGCAGGATCCTGAAAGGTATACTCCAGATTTCGTAATAAAGGGAGGGGGGTCTCATTTCGGGGGGGGGTCTCTTCCAGGCTATCTTGGAGGGCCTGGGGGGTCCGGGGACGATGTTTTGGAGGGTTCTCCCACGGGGGAGGTCTGAAATGGCTTGTCTTGGAGGGCCCAGACCCCCTCCCTTTTCTTACGAAATCTGGAGTAACTGACCCGGATTTGCACTGACCCGGGCCAGCACGTCCCCGATCGAGCTGGCCGGGCTCACTCCGATTCGATCCCAGATGTCCAGCGTTAGGCACATGTCGTTCTAAGGAGGGGAAAAAACACACAGACACAATTAATCGTCGATCCCCAGGAGAATATGGGAAAATATGGGAAGTGGGCGGGAAGACAGAAACCCAGAAAATATGGGAAAATATGGGGAACATTTGTATTTGTGTGCATTTATTTGTGTGTCCTGGGGCCCCTTCATATTCATACTGTTCGGCCTCTCAGGGTCCTTGTCGGTCCCTGGGGTCGTCAAGCAATTAGGGGGGATGGAACGCTGGCCCCGCGGAAGTGGCTGAGAGGTCGGGGGTCCGTGTCTCGACAAAAAACGAGGCGCCACACATGTGGCATGCCGACCTTCCAGCGAGCCGAGGCGGCCCGATGCACGTGCTTCTTCGAAGCTGTGCATCCGATGCGGCCCCAGATCCCCCCGCCCGGCGCGCTCCAGAACGGCTCGGCCACGCGCAGAAGGGGCAATTAGGGTGAGGGCGGGAGGCTTCTCGGAAGCCTCCTGGCTGCGTAGAAAGGCGAACGCCAGATATTTGCAGATATCAGGCCGGCGCCCTCTGAGAGGCAGGCTCTTCCCAAGAAGCCTCCCCCCATCCCTGACTCCGGATCCGCCCTACTTTGGCTTTTTGTCCAACTTAAAATTGCGTCGGAAATCCACTTATAAGAGGCCGAAAAAGTAGGGTGGACATTGCTGCACCCAACATAAAATAGAGCGGAAATACACACAAACAGCAACAGAAAAGTAGGGCGGAAATTGACATCAGCGGGGCTTGAAAAGTAAGGCGGAAATTCCAAGCCCCACTTACGAATTTCCCCAAAGTAGGGCGGATCCGGAGTCAGGGCTACCCCTACGTGCGCGCCGCCAAGAAATGCCCAGACCCCCGACGGCGTGATTCTTGCCCAGCGTCGACCCCGAGAGGTCTGGAGCCCTTCCCTGGGGACCGGTTTTTCGTCCCGGGTCGTGTTCTGACAGCCCCGAGGCCTAGGAAGGGCCCCCGGAGTCCGAAATCTGGAGGAGGAGGAGGAGGAGGAAGAAGAGGAGGAGGAGGAAAGGAGGAGAAGGAGGAGAAGGAGGACAAGGGAGGAAGAGGAGGAGGAGGAGGAAAAGGGAGGAGGAGCAGGAGGAGGAGGAAAAGAGAGGAGGAGGAGGAGGAGGAGGAAAAGGGAGGAGGAGAGGGAGGAGGAGGAGGAGGAGGAGGAGGAGGAGGAGGAGGAGGAGGAGGAGGAGGAGGAGGAGTGCGTATGCTTCTCTGCGCCTCCCCTCGCCGGGGAAGGGCGGCCTCTCTCCCGCTTGGTGTTCGCCTGGGGCCCCCAGGGCTCCCGGTGGCCCGTGGGTGAAGCCTGGCACGCCCCCCTATAGGAGGAAAATTCAAACATTTGTCAAAAAAAGTATGGGGATTGTTTTTCGATGTTTGTTTTTACCCTCTTTGAATGTAATTGAATAGTTTTGGATTTGTTTTGACTATTTGAATATTCTCTTACCACCATGATCATGTTCAAGCCTTTTTTGGGGGGGGGATCTTTTTGAATATTTGTTTTATGTTTCGTCCAAAATCCGCCTGTCGAGGGGGACGCGCCCGACCTAACCCGCGGGGGGGAGGGGCCGCCGGTCGTCCGCCTCGCGCGCCTCCGTGGACGCCCATACGTCAACTCTGCAGACGATGAATTCGCCCCCGGTGGGTCTTCAGCAGCCGGGGTACCCCCCTCCGGTAGATTCCAGCAGTGGCGAAGCGTCCTGGCTTGCCCATAGCCCTGCCAGGCACTGTTTCAATAGCCTTTTGTGGCTTCCACGAAGTGTTCTCGGAACATTCCTGGCGGAGTCTGTCTTGTTGTATCACATCGGGCTTATGTTCTAAGAACACTGTTCTTGCTCTTAGAGCATTTTGGGTTATAAGAACATTTCGTGGTAGGACAATAGGAATGCCGGGACGGTCGGTCCCTGCTCAATAGATGGACTGTATATTCAAACCCTTACACGTTCGAAGGAGATTCCAAGTCAGTCACCCCCACGCCCCCGACATCAATGTTGATCTCAGTAAAGGCGGTGCTTCGGGGGTTCGAATATTTCTGTCTACTCACGCCCCCGCCCGTCAGCACGCCATCAATATTAATTTCGGGGGGTCAGGGGGGCATCTTGGGCAACAGGGTTCGAAAATGATGTCAATGTGCGGTCCCTCCTGTGCTCTCAGCGGGGAAGAGAGAACTCGTCCCTCCTCCTCCTGCTCCTCCTGCTCCTACTCCTCCTCCTCCTCCTCCTCCTCCTCCTCCTCCTCCTCCTCCTCCTCCTCCTCCTCCTCCTCCTCCTCCTCCTCCCTCTTCCTCGGACTCCTCCCCCTTCCCCTAGGGGCCCCAATCCATCAACAAGGCCGTCGCAGCGACGATTGGCTTCCACTGCTGGGGGAGGGGGGGGGCCCTAGAGACCCGCCCGGGCCACGGTGGCGCCGCGACTGCGGCAGACCTCCGGCTCTAGCTCTTCACGCCGCCGCCCTGGGCCCGACGCAGCAGGCCCGGCGGAGGCTCGGCGGGAGCTCGGCGGAAGGCGGGCAGAAGTCCAAGGCCTGGAGCTATGATGCCCCAACCTACTTTAGCGTTGATCGCCAGAAGAATTTCGAGCGCCAGAAAAGTGTCCGAAAGCTCGAGGGTTTTCAAGTGTCGGGCCCTGGGAGACACTCGCCCGACACTGCTTCGACACTATCTCGACACTCTTTCGACACTTTTCCGGGTGCTCGAAATTAGTTCTGGGGTGTGGTCCTTAAGCACGATGGGAGCAGCATGAGCCTAGAGCCTAGAGCGTCAGAGGAGGAACGGGTACCCCCAAAGGTACCCATACCTCTACCCCTCCCTCCTGGGAGGGCCTCGTCGCCACCGCTGGCTTCGCCTCGAAATTCTGGTCAGAACGCACCCTGGGATAGGTCAGGGGAGTAGCGGTATTGGTACCTTTGGATTTCCCCAGAGTAGGAAGGGGGGGGGGGGGGGCAAGTACCACGCCGAGAGCCCGGACCTCTTCGTGTTGTGGCGAACGCGGAGAAACAAAGACGGACGGTGCTTGGAAATTTTTGGTGTTCGGGGGTCCTTGCCGTACTGCACGAGATGAAACGCCCGTGCAAAGGAAGGGTCCAGATTTCCAGGGGACTAAGCAGGGTCCACTGCGATCCGATCGGTCCAACTCGATATCGGTCCTGGCCAGCTCGATCAGACCTGATTCCCGTATTCCGACGATCCGATGTTGCCCGATGTTTGCGTGGTGTTGTTGTTGGTGTTGTTGCGCAATCTGGCGCAGCCGACCTGACTTCTTGTCAGCCCGATCCGACTCACATTCCAGTTCGAGCCGATAGCCGTGGGAACGAGGACAACAACGGTCTCCGCGGTTCGGTCTGTTCGGCTGCGTCGCAGTCGGTTGCGCCCTTTTCCTCCTCTCGCCCTCCTCCCCTCCTCATCTTTCCAATCCTTCTCATTCCATGCATCCTGCTGCTCCCCTCCTCTTCCTCCTCCTCCTCCTCTTCCTCCTCCTTCTCTTCCTCCTCCTCCTCCTCCTCCTCATGCTCTCTCTCTCTCTCTTTCTCCTCCTCCTCCTCCGCCTCATCATCATCAGTGGCCCAAGCGGCGGCATGGGCTGGGGCTCGCGGCTGCCATCTGTTTCATGACTCCGCCAGATTGTGCCAGCAGTCGATGGGTTCTCGCAGCCGCTCGCGCGAGCCAGCGCCCGCTGCACCCATGGATGGTCACACGATGATGGCTCACTTCAGGGATATGCTGCGTTCAGAGATCAAAGAGCCGATGGCAAAGGATTTTGCAGACGTGAAGACGTCGATCGACAACGTGCGCAGGGATGCCGAGAGGCACGAGGGCCGCCTCAACAGTATGGAGCAGGACCTCATAGGCTTTCGCGAGGGACGCTCGGTTGCACCATCTACGGTTGCGTCTTCGGTCAGGCCTGTCCGCTGCGCTTCTCAGGGCTCGGGAGTGCGGCACAGTCGGCTCCGTCGGGGCCGAATAAGGCGAGCGACAGTATTTGCGTGACCATCGGCGGCTGGGATCGGGACACGCCTCGCGATACCATCCTGAACGAGGCTCGCGCTTTCACCGGCACGATTCCCGACACGGCAGAGGATGGAGTGTTTGTCCCGCTCAAGCGTGCGAGCTCTTTGAAGGTCCGCTTCACAAGTTCGGGTCGCATGTGGGCTTGGGTGCGTTCTATGAAGGGCAAGCAGATTACTATGCCGCAGCAGCATCATCAGGGTCGACGATGTTGGTTCTTAGTGGAAAAATTCCCAGAGAAGATTCGGCTCTCTATGATGATCACGCGTGCGAAGAAGGAGATGCTGATCGACAACTTCGGCGTGCAGATGGCCGACCTGGAGCTGGACTGCATTCGTGGCATCGCCTGGTGGAATCAGCACAGGTTTGGCGAAATGGTGAAGACCACGGGCTTCATGAGCTTCAAGGAGAACGTCGCGGCCGAGATCAGCACCTCCACGGGCGTGAACCTGAACCTAGACGAGATCCAGGCGAAGGTCAACGCGGGGCAGTGACTGGACAGGGAGCGGACTCTAGAGGAGTCCGAGGAGCAGATGAGCTTCAAGCTAATCAGCTGGAACGCTCAGGGGATTGCAAAGCTCAGTGCCGAGTTCTTCGTGGAGACGCTGCGAGAGCAGCACGACTACGACGCGGCCATCTTCCAGGAGGTGGGCTATTGGGGCACGACCACGAAGCTAGAGGTCAGCGGAGGCGATCTCTACCTGGTCACACCGCGCGTCGGTGGGAAGAAGCAGATGGGGCTGCTGGCGCGTTCTCGTGCTCGACTTTCTCTTCGAGGGGAGTTGCTGCCATTGGGGCGTTCGGCGGCTCATCATTTTCGCGTTCGCAAGAAAGACTACTGGATCATCTGCAGTCACCTCTTCCCACGACACTCTCAGCCAGTGCGAGGACTCCCTGGGCGAGCTCCTCGACCTGATCACCACGGCGCCCTCTGTGGCGTATCCGATCGTGGGCGTGGACGCGCAGACGGCTCTGCCTCCCCCGAGGGCGGACAAGGAGCGCTGGATCGGGGACTTCCCGTCGGTCAGCGCACGCGCCGCGCCGAGCTGTTGACGCGGCTTCTGATGCAGCACGACCTCGCGGCGACGAACACGTTCGCTGCGGCGGCCAGCGGACCCGCCTGCCACTGCGACTTCAAGCGCCCGCCAGCCCAGACCGACTATGTCCTGATACCTGCTCGCGACATCTGGAAGGTCAGCACCGCGCGCGAGGAGGTCGTCGCCAGCGCGCAGTCCGACCACTCGGCCATCAAGCTGGAGCTCACCCTCGGCACCAGGGGGCGCTACGTCTGGAACGGAGGCCGCGCGCCCATGAAGGGCTGGACCTGCCTCGACAACCGCTTCCAGCGCTGGAGCCACAACGCCTGCTACGCCGACCGCAACCCAGCGCCAATCACGTCTATGACGGGCGCGGTGTGCACGGCTGCCGCAGCCTGCGGCAGGGGCCCGCCATCGCGGAAGGTTTTCTAGCTCCCCGAGAGCCACGAGCTCATGCAGACGCTGCGGATGTTGGAGGCGCGTCGGCGGGGCACCCGCGACCGCGTGCAGCGCGCGATCTACGGCAAGGACATCATCGGGATTCGCAGGCAGATCTGGGCCGCGAACAGGGCCCTGCAGCACGGCTCACACGAGGCTGGCAATCCTCGAGTACGAACACCTCGCCGAGCTCTACCTGGGCCGGCCCGCATCCAGCTGACGAGCGCGGCGGGGGAGATCGAGGACGACCCGCTGAGGATCAAGGAGCTTCTGGGGCGCGAGTACAGCAACGCCTTCAGGGCCAGCCACGGGGAAGGGGCCTGCCGGGGTCTCTGCCTACCCCACCCACTTCACGAAAGAGGACGCGCTAGACATCCCGCCCTTCTCAGAGGGCTCCGCGAGGCTCCTGGCGACGTGGAGGCCATGAAGGCGCCTGGCGTGGACGGGGTGGTCGCCGAGGTCCTGCAGGCCCTCGACTCGGGCCCCCTCGCCTCGCTCGCAGCCATCTTCGAGAACCGCTTCCGCGGGGTGCCAGAGTATGCCAAGGGCCAAGCCCCACCTTCGAGAAGCTCAACGCGCTCGGCCTGATCAAGAAATGCGGCAGCAAGCTGACCCTGCGGAGCCCGCAGTACGCCTATCGGAAGTCCCAGGCGATGGGCGTGATCTTCAGCATGCGCATGCATGTGGAGAAGGCTCGCGAGTGGAACCGACCCATCTTCATCATGGACGGCGACATCGAGGCGGCCTTCGACCGTGCATCGCACCGCTCGATCGAGGAGACGCTGCGCAGAAGGGCCGTGCCAAGGCCCGCGGTCCTGGCCATCGTGAGGGAGTTGTCGGCGTCGGCGGTGATCAAGATGGGCTCGATCCAGACGCAACCAGTACTTCGGACTCCTGGCATTCGACAAGGAACCCCAGCCAGCACGATCCTCTTCAACCTGGTGCTGGAGGATGCCTCGGAGGAATTTTTGGACGAGTGCTGGACGCACGGCCAGGGCTTCGAGTTCCCAGGAGAGGCGACGCTGCACGAGGCGGGGCTGCTCCACGCCGACAACTTATGGCTGTTCGCGGGCGCGGCCGAGACGCTGCGCCTGATGGCGATGGCCTGGCGACGCGTTCTTCGAGATCGCGGTTGGCGCATACCTCCCTCCGGTCTGACCTGGGGCGCGACGGCGTTGGGCCGCGAGTTCGGCGACTACCAGGCGAGGGTCGAGGGCGGCATCCTGACGCGCGCGCCGCGCGCCGAGGGTTTTCCTTGCCTCGGCGCTGTTTTCGACTTCGATGGAACGTCTTGGAAGGACACGCAGCACAGGGCAGCGCGCTTGTTGAGCCTTTTACGCTCTCAAGCTGTCTCTGCCTGGACGCGCCTGCCGCTGGCAGCAGGCCGCGAAGCTGCTCGAGCGAGCTATCAATCCTGTCTTGCCCTGTGGTTCGGGGGCGTGGAGCCCCGGTGTCAAGGGCCTGAATTCAATGCGCATCACGCATCGCAAAAGGTTTTCGCAGTTGATTTGCACGGAAAGATGGAAGGAGGAGACGCCGGAGGATTTCTGCCGCCGTC